TGAAAAGCACAGTGTCGTGATTGTCGGTAGTGATTACACTAAGGCTATTTCAGGCTACGTCTACGTAAGCAAAAGGCCTTTATATTTTTTTCTGCAAAGATACTCGAGAAACATTATAGCTCAGTTATGGTTACTTATTGTAACAAGCCCACTTAGCTTAAACAGGGTGGTTCAGTTCAAAAAAGAAAGCAAGTCTATCGCTTTTGTCAACAAGCAAACTAAATGTAGTTAATCGCTTAATACAAACTAATATACTGTTTATAACTACATATTCAGTGCATAATATCCAAGTTGACTCATTTAAGAGAGATGTAAGGAAAACAGAACTTCATTAACCATCTCTGCAGGTGATCTTATTATAATTACAACACTAACCAGGCTAACAACAAGGAAATGATTATTTACTAAGAGAGCTCCGTTAGGTTTTTCTAGGTTATTTAATGCAGGTATCAGTTTCTCGGTGCGAAATTACATTTTAACCAAGTCAAGCATGAATTGCAGAATATTACCATGTTATGAAAAGTCATAAAAATATAAACCTGTGAAATGATTGCTTACCTTTGCATTCCCCATATAAAGAAGATGAGGATGAACGAAAATGATTTTAGCATCTTCTTGTGATCACCGTTAATGCTGTGAGAATTCCTTTTGCGATATGAAAAAGCCAAAAACATTAATTATAAAAGATACATATTTCTTAACATACGCGCAGTCGGCGATCCTAGTTTGTGGGGAAAGGATAGCTTTATCCGAGTTTCCATTCAAACTCAAGGCGAGGACTCGATACTTGCTTTGCCATTTCTTTCGAGTCTGCAGTATGCTCACCTTTCTTCGATTAATTGTGTCTTCGTCAATGCTATCAAGTCAACATGAAGGTTGAACATGAGTTAGGAGACACAGAAACATCATTAATATTTACCTTCTGGAATCATCGCTCCATTATGACGCGTGCTGAAACGGAAATTGCAAATACAACTTAATTCGGAAGTGTATATTAATTTATTTGTCATATGCCCGACTAATTTCTTCTGTACGCTATTGTTTCTATAAGTCCTACAATATGTAAACATGAGTGTATGAATGTATGAATATACACCCCAAACGGCCATTTACATGATAGGCCAACTTTTTATCTAAGTAACAAGAGGGAAATAAATCACCACAGCTAAAAAGAGCATACTCGAATTAGCTAGTATGATTGCCAAGTTTGGCTGCAAAATATGAAGTAGGCCTAGTACGGAAAATAAATTATAGTCATATGAACTTGGCTTATATATACTTTTGCATTACGGGCGGAAGTGTGTAATTTAATTACACTCGTCTGACCATATAAACACAAACGTAAATAAACTTTGCTTGGCTATATTTTCGATACTTTACAATATTTCACAGCCAAAGTTTGCAATAGGGCTAGTTTATTATTCTCCTCAGTTTTGGAAATTCCCTTTTTGTCGCCTGAATCAAAAGTTGGTCTATTATATATGCAACTGGCCCAGCCAATAATATATTATTAGAGGTTGGTTGAAACGTAAAAAAGTCTAAACTTGTCATTCTTTTACCAGATAAAGCTTCAAGATAGTGTCTGAACCAAATTGTATTTCAATAGACCTTTTCAATAATTACGTCACAAGATTTTAACGTCACAACGTTTTCGAGACGGATTTCAAATTTAACTCTCACGAGCCACGTGCAAAGATGCAACATCCTTCTTTAACACATGCATGAAAAATATTTTTTATTTTGACCAATAAATGTGGAAATAAGCCATAACACGAGAACGAGGCTCAGGGGCCAAGAAGTTATGTCGTATTTCCATACTTATTTGTAAAAATGAAAAATTCTTTTTCATGCATGTGTTGAAGAAGGATGTTTTGCATCTTTGCACATAGCTCGTGAGAGTAAAACTTGAAATCCATCTCATTTAAGGTGGTTCGAAATTTAAAGCTACAATGTTGTGACGTACCAAAAAGGTCCATTGAATAATTGAGTCATGATAGAATATATCATTCTGTCTCACGAGGACGTGGGCGGATTCCTTAAATTCCTTAAATATAAAAATGACCAAGCTTGCCAAGGCTTCAATAAAATATTAGAGAACTTCATTGGGACACACGAACCTAGAAAAGCATTTTCGTGGTCCCTTAGTAAACGAATTTGGTTGTTTTCTAGAGATGCATTTGCGAGCACAAAAAAAGTTTAGTAAGTACAATAGAATAGTAGGAGATATTTAATCCATGATTTGGCATTTACCATAAATCAACATAAAATAATTGGCAACAAATGTACCAGCATTTAGAGGCTAGAAGGAACCCATAGTTTTAGAATTTCTTTTTTCCTCTGAATTCTTCCACTTATCAACAGAATTGTTTCTTGTATGCTCGTCATTCTAGCTTTCATTCGCTTTTAGATTTCAATTCAGATTAGCGTTGCTAGACAACGTCAATGATTATGTGCTGTGTTACCCCCGTGCAACTTTCCCGCTTCCAACTTTCAATGCAATTATAACTTTGAGGAATGTTCATTCGTAAAGAGTGTTCGAAATGCTAGCTAAGAACACAGTAGCAGATCATAAATTAAGAAATGTTCGTGTTTGACAACTTTAGATGCCTCGTGAGTGGAATTGCTTTGCAATTTGCAAGGAAAGTTGCATGCATATTGTAACACTACATTGAATAAAGTTTTAATTAATTTTGTAATTTCGCTTTAAATGTTGTATGTATAAAAACTGCCTTAAATAGACAAAACCACTTCCGTTTCGACGTTTACGGCATGCACACGGCTAACCGCAATCTGCAAATTTTAAATCAGAGTTGGAGGCCAACTTTTAGTTGTTCAAACTTTGCGGGGCAATTTTTTCTATGAAAACTGAAGTATGAATTAGCTACCTGGCGGGTAAAAACTTGTGAAGTTTGCCTCTAAAAGCGATTTGAAGTTTGCCGTTTGCTGTTAGCCGTGTGTCGTAAACGTCAATCTTAAGGTCCCTAATAACTCTCCTGACGAAGGCCCTGGGTCGAAACGTCCAGAAATGTTTTGGTCTTTTTCAGGCAATTATTATACCACATTTGAAACGAAGTTATTTGATGACCCTGCCAAGCTGCTCCCTGGTTATCAAATCTATAGATTTTGGTGCAATTTAAACTCGCTTATAACCAGGGAGCAAAATAAAATATTTAACAAAATTATTCGCTGCAGGCGAGGTGATTATCGGGAAATATCCATGCACCGAGATGAAGTCGAGGGGAATATTCCCCGATAATCGCCGAGCCTAGGGCGAATAATTGTTTTAGTATTTTTGACACAAGAACTACATTTGTTCGCTTATTTCTTTGTACGAAACGTCCACAAAACAGCTAGCTGCCACAGCAAAATACGTCAAATGTGACCAATCAGAATGTAGGATTTCTTATATTCACTTGCGCAAAAATACTAAAAATGTATAGATATAAGTATGAAAACTGCTGCTAGTGTTAGGAAACCAGTATTAATTTGTTGTACATACGGCTTTGACATTGTCTATCAAAAGAGTCTATAATTTTCCTTGCAGTTTAGAAACTGTGGAAATTAGAGAAGTTTTATTTCACGTCTGCGTCGTAGATTCGGTAAAACTTAAACTCACCATTATTATTGGAACGATTCGGGGATTAAGTTTAATGAGTAATATCACTGAAGGTGGCTCCCTACAGTTTCTGGTAATATTTAAATGCACATTTTAATATAAACAGGGATATTGAATATTGATATTCAGCATGACTAGAAAACTAAAATTCGTTTATTGCTCTTCGAGCATTTTTAAAACGGTTGAAAAAATTCACTATCCAGTGGATAGCGCTAACCGGCTTTCATACAACTGGCCCCATAGTGATACCCTTTCCGCAAATACCAGTTGATACCACCAGCAAATGAGGTGTGTGCACCGATATGGTAAAGACCATTGAGATCTATGGCATTGATAATAACACCATCCCCCCCCCCCCAAATAGGAGAACAGCATAGTGTGCGAGAATGCCATGCCACTTTGAAACAGCGTTTCCACAACTTATATTTGCATAAAGCTGTCCTCATGGGGAGATGGTAATGAAAAAGAAAGAAACAAAAAACTTTGAAAAGAATGCATAATATATCCTATTAAGACTAAACCTCCCTCCCTCATGGTTGACATTTTGAAGGAAATTTCCTTCAAATGTGGAAACGCTGCTTTGAAACCTATTCCTAAACACGTGTGTTTTAAAAAAGTTATCAATAGACCTTTCCCCTGGCTTAGCTTTCAAGCGCGCAATGCGTGACGTTAATTATTAAACAACTTTGAGTTGCGATATCGCTCTGATTAATAGCGATTGTGTTTGTAAAAAAACCTTGCCGATTCGTTTTGCTTCTTTGTTAAACTAAATCGCTCCTGAACATGGCGAAATTACAACTCAAATTGACCTTAATAATCAACTACAGTCACGCGTTGCGCGCTTGAAAGCTAAAAGGGGAAAGGTATGTTCATGATTAACGTAATACTATTATAATGCAATTGGTGCACCGTCCATAGTGAATGGAGGAGACAAAGCTTTTCAAAGACTAGAACAAATTAGACTGATTTCTTATACAAGCATATAATATCTGAGATGGTTGCTGTAAAACGTTGCGTCATTACGACGTTGCAACATGGCATGCGCAACATTACAAAGGACAAGGTTTCTTTAGTTAAACTACTCGTCTGAAGTGTTCATTGTTTAGAGGGCCCTAACTTTGGGGCAAGCACGTTTAATGGTGTCCTGCGACAACCGCAACGACGCGGAAATTTAGAATTCTAGGGCTTCTAAAATTCTCAAAAATGGATGTTGCCAAACGCGGGAGATTTGAGCAAGATTGCAAGTTTCGGTTTTTATCTTGTAAATTTGCCTTCTTCACAATGATAACCCCCCCCCCCCTCAACGGTTGTCGCTAAAGATTGGGGGTCAGCTGCGCCCTTTGCTTTTCCTTGGCTACGCCCCTGTCATAGATGAGCATGAAAATGAAATATTGAGTAGATTTATTAAGAAAAAATTGACAATTACTTCACTAACAAAGGTTAACTAACTTCCCTAAATCATATTTTTGTGAGCCTTAAAGTGAGTTACATGTTCGTTTTCATTGTTGAATAATGCAAAGTGCGGGTAATGATAGTTATGCCCTCAGGCCAAATGCTCGTGGACGGATTTTCATTGCTGTTGATTTCAAGGAATAGTAATACCCTTTCCACGCACGCCAGTTGATACCATCAGCAAATGAACTGTGTGCACCATGATGATACAGACCATTAAGGTTGGAATTATGGCAAACCTGATACCACCAACCACCCTTGTATGCGATTGCACATTTTCCGGAGTATATGTCATTGTCGGAATCCTTTGTTGAGAACGCCATATCTTTCTGACGAGTTAGAGAATCTCCTGCATTGCCTAAATATGATATAGAAGAATGTAACTTGACGCTTCTTGACATCTGTTTTGCAGGCAATTATACCACACGTTTCGCAGCCAATTATAACACACGTTTTTCTTCTAAAGCTGGTATTCGAAAGCAGCCCTCCCCTCAACCTGGCATTAGTGTGGGGCATTTGGCCAAAACACAGCCAATTGGATAGTGACTTAGTCGATTTCGAGCGTTTTCAAAACATTTTTGTCCATTTTATTGTTTCTACGCCCTATCCACACGATGCAAGGAAAAATACGATCAATATATCGGTTAAATTAGCTTCAACTTCTATTGTAAATTGACGGTGTTTGAAACGGGTTTCGCATAAAAACCAATGTGAAAACTCTCGAGAACATTACCGTGCGCACATAAGCTTAGTGATGACTTGTAAAACGTGTGTTGCTGATTGACAAAAACAAACAAAGCGAAAGCAGAGATTTTAAAGCACATAAGATCCTAAAGTTATTTGTTTATTCTTTAAATTGGAATGTCAGTCGAATGAGTCGAACATGTCGGATAAATTAAGATTGAATAATTACAAATACTTACCAGAATATGTTCCAAGGCTAAGTTGATATTTCTGACGCTCGCTGGTCACAGCAAATAAACCATATTCTGCGTACCTTTTGCTCCCAGAAGTGTCTTCCAGGTCGATACGAAGCTTATTTCGAGAAGCCGTTGTCAGTCTGTGGATTTTGTCTAATCCAAGCCAGAACTCGCCCTTCAAATCACCAAAGCCATGCTTATAATCTTGCCATCCTCGGTAGAAATCAACACTGCCATCAAGACGACGTTGAAACACCGTCCATCCTCCACCAGATGTCGTCATATCACAGCGAACATTGAAACTGCCCTTGCCGTCTGGATCAATCTTGTAAACTCCATTCTGTCTAACTCCCTTCATGTACAAATCAGCGCAGTCTTTACCTACAGTGCGGCAATGAGATTTATCCATCACTATAGACCTTTAAAAAAGTCATATTCCTGTTTGGTCAACTTGGCGCAAACCTGAACTGAATACTTTACAATTATACCACGAGCTCGAGTCGTATATGCATGAGCTGATAACGGATGAGGTTTGTAGCACCGAGAGACGCAAGTTGCCTATAATCCACAGTCTCGTACCAAGGCGCGCCGCTTTAATAATAAAATATACAACGTTGCATTCAGGTATTGTATAGAGGTCAGCTGAAAAAAGAAAGCGCACAGGGGTGTTTGGGGTGGTTTTGTTTTCTCGCGCTTTACTGGAATCGAGTGTTGATGGGCTAGCCAAGTATTACGAACGTTTCTTTCGGCGAAGAATCATTTGAAGGTACTATTATTTAAATGTTTTCCGTCGGCGTGACTATATCGTAGAACCGAAACCACCCCAATAACCTCTGCGCGCTCGCGTTTTTTCAGCTGACGTCTACAATTATAGCCTGCTCGCAGACTGAATTAGGAGGCCGGAAATTAAACGGGAAAAATTCAGTCTGCTGAACTGCATAACACTTACACGGATTTAAGTAACTGAACGTGATTGGCTCAAACATATCAACGATAGATAGATCAAGCGTTTTGATTCGTTTAGTCGCTAAATATTTTGAATAAATTATTTTTGGAAATATACTATTTTTACACTGTTTGTTATGAAAACATAGCGTCGACGAAGCACAGTTACGATACAGATGTTCAGTGTTCACCGTTGGCAAACTGCCTTGCGGACTGTGCGCTCTACATTTAATATTAAGGTGTTGTATGCTGAGCAAACAGCTGGGGTTGAATGTGAAATTGGAGTTTGTATTTCCAACAGTTCTGGCAGCGCACTGACCAGTTCACGTGTACTGGCAACGGATTTCGTAGCCTTTGTGAATGTCTGGGATGCGCTGGGCAAATTTGGCGCTGTAATACATGGCTTTTTGCTGCTCGGTTCTTCTCAGTCTTCAAAGACTTGTCGGCTTTTAAGTAGTCCTTTTTCGTATGCCTCTTTAAGTTCGCTCATAATGAGGTTATCTTGAGCAAGAAGAGCGGATCGTTTCCTTACTCTTAGTTTATCGAGACACTGTCGACAAATGTAAAGTGATGTCTCTAAAAGTCTAAAACATCAAATGGCAACTTTGGTAGAGCCGACTAGCGTTAAATTTCGTCTTCCCGGTTAACAAATATAGGATACAATTTCGGATAAAATTGTGAGTTATTTCAAACCAAACGGTTGGGCTTCTTATTAGTTACCTTTTATTTGCATTGAATCATTGGTACAGACGATTGATTTAATCAGTGTTTCTTGTAACTGAAACAAGATCTCAGCTTTCATCTCAGACAACAATGCTTTTATTTCCACTAGATCTGGTTTTAGAGCACAATTTTCAGCCGTTGTATTTTTCCTTGCCAAGCAGATTTCTTCCTTCTCGTTAAGAACAACTTCGAAAGCAGTTGCGCTAAAATGTAATATAAACTCACTAGTTAATAATTAAGTCCAAACATTGCATTGCGCATGTGGAGACATTGAACGAACAAGAAGTTACGCAATAATTTTGTTAATAATTGTATTTATCGCATTTATTCAGTAAATATAATAACATAATATGTCATGGACAGCGGAGAAGGAAGGGCTGTTAGGCGCTATAGGACTATGTGGACTTTGTTTTTAACCTTTTAAAAGGTAAAGGATATGATCCTTAACAGTGTAAGTATAACTGGTTCACATTTCCCGTAAAACCTCGTTGCAAAGACTGCAACATTATATATTATTATACATCGTATAGCAGTCTATAATTATATTGCTGCATAATATTTCATATGTTTGTGTATTTTTGGTATTTTATGGTATTTTTTAATCCATTATTAGGGGACAAGAAGCGCCCTATACCCTAGTTAACTCTAATTATGATAACCCTGTAACACGTATGTATTTACGCATGTAAGACTTTACCCCATACGCGCATAATACGTGATGATTCATATTTCATTCTGACTTTCGAACTTGTTTGACCTTATAGTTACGTTTTTTAATCCCAACGTAAAAAAATGTGTTGCAAATGCTGACGGTTGTGAACAACCTTCAAATTTCAATCAACAAGGTTAACTAAAACTGACATTCAATCACGTTCGAGAAATGTTAAAAAATGCCAGCTATAATTACTAAATGAAAGAAAATTCGATTAACTTTTCCAAAGCGGGAGTTCTTGTCTGTCTCATGACGTAAATAAAGTTGTGAGCATTAACAAACATTCAAAATGTTGTCTAAATTCTCAACAATTTTGCACATCGCATCGTTTTTTTTTCGCCCCTCGCAATAACGTTATCATAATTACCATCAATTGATGACATTAATTCACTTCTAAGGGGGAACTATTTTGTTAACAACATAACATGGGCGCGTTTAACACTTCATTGTTGGGTATTGTTGTTGTTATTCATCGGTAGTACAAGGTAGTCCTAACTTAAGGTATAGTTTTCTTTGTATATATTTGTTTATAGATTACGCAAATTACATCAAATTTGATATAGGCCTTTACTTGCTTTTTGCCTTTGGAATCTTATCGTAAATTCCAGTGAAATTAACTCGAAATGGTCAAACGTGGCTGCTACATGCATGCTTCATTAGGCTCGTGAGAGATTTATCAAGAATAGTTGGTGGTGTCTTCAGATCACATTTGCAAGTCTCTTTCCCCGTTCTAACCTAATTTCTTAATTGCAAATAAATATAATTGCAAAGTTCGTAACGAAGCTTAAGTTCTGTAAATAAAAAAATGGCTGTTGCACGCAACCTTACCTGTGCATTCCGCAGAGGAAGCAAAAACAAAGGAAGAACGAACGTGGTTTTAACATCATCATTCTTGTGATTACCCTTGAGTTTCTTTCCCTGCATTTGAAAGCAAAAAAAAAAACCGTCATACATATCTTACAGACTAAACACAATTTTCTCCTCCGTAAATATTCAAAATCATGGTTTTATCAGACTTTCGTAGTTCCCGTACGCATGGAAGAATTTCATTCTGGTACAGCATGTACTATTAGTATTGACTTTATGCTTACCTTTACTGATTTTTATGCTTAGATGTTATTAACCCAACAGTCTAAGATTAACTGAAGCTTATTGAAACCGCAGTCGTATTATAAACATAGCTAGTGACGCTTGCTCAAAACATAACGGAAATTGATTAAATAGATTAAATTTGCGTGGAACGCTAAAGCACAATTAAATTAGTCCAATTTCATCCCATTCTAGTATCAACATGAATCCTTGTTGACAAATTTAAAAAACATGCGTAAGTTTTTAAAATAGCTGGTTTTATTATTTATCTTATATTTCTCTAGGTAAAAGCCACTTTGTGATCGGTAAACGTTCCTAGAAAATTCAAATGTAACTCTCTTTTGCACCAATCTTATGTATTTGTGTATCCTAATTCGTATCCACCGCTACGAATCCCAACAAGAGTTTATTTCGGTATGGCTACTATCCAGTTACGCGTTTTTCATACGCACGTACACGCACGTAGAAGTCTAAATCCTTATGCATGATATATTTTAAAAAACTAAGTAAATAAATCGAAGGAACTTAGTTTCCTGCTTATTTTAGTATGCATTAGTTGACCTAGATGTTAAATAATGAAAATTTAAAAGCATTTAAAATTTTCCGTACGTGTACGTGCGTATAAAAAACGCGTAAGTGGAAAGCAGCCTAGCTTTTTCTTGGCATTTTCAATAATATATAATTACAGACACCCGAGGTCATTTTTAACAAAGAGTTTACGATTCAAGACGCGGCCAGCTCGAAGACCCGCTTGCGAAACAAAAAAGTTTTTTTTCCAGTTTTTATGGGCATTAATTCTGGTAATAAAGTCAACAAAAGGATTCGAACTTGCATGGGATGTACAATCAGGGTTGACGATATCATCTCAATTTGTGCCATTTTTCTTGCGACTTGCAATGCAATTCTTCTTTTGAGAGATGTAAATTTGGCTAAACTATCCAAATTCATGCAATTCATGGCCTTTCTTACACTTACATTTTGAAGCTTCCTCACTAATTTACATCTCTCGAAAGTAGAAACGCATTCGAAGTTGCAAGAAAAATTGTACCGTGCAACATGGCCATAGTCTTTCGACGCACCAACAGAGGCAGCATATTTGGCTTACAGCCCCCTATTTGGTTTCAAATAGGTCGCTTTTTTCGCGTCGATTGTAATTCAAACAAATGATGATGAGATAATAAACATCTATAATGATCAATTGCTTGAATTGCATTCGACGCGACCAAGATGCGACGTTTAACCTTAGCCTGAAGCAACTGGAAGACCAACGTGTTTTTAACCGTGCGCCCGCATACATAAATGTAACAAAACAAATAAGAGAGACAAAAACAAAATTTTCAGTTAGGAATATGACATCGCATCCTCGGATTTCGAATGATACTATTGCTACCTCAGCAAATAACTATCACAGGTGCTGCATGTATATGGAGTCAAAACTAATGCAGATTTTAAACTACACAAAACCAGACCTGCATGTTTTTGCGTCAAAGCCCAAAGGGTGCGACAGCTGTGCCCATTAAGGATATTATGTGCCCATTAAGCAAGGCACGATCGTCTCCTCGCGACTATGTGTTAGATTTCGTAAATGAACACATAAAATTATCAGGAATTAACTGATATTTGTGACCGATGTTTTGATCTCTAATTAAATAAGCATTCAGGTAACGAGATTCTTGCTAATGGCTTACTGTGGAGTAAAATATAGACTGAAAATAATACTAAAAGTTAACGGAGTTCTAACTATTATACAATTATAAGTAGATAATAATTATAGACAATTAAATTTAGGGGCTGTTCACATGAGCCCGGTATTGACACGAGTAAATAACAAGCACGATTCTCAGTAGGCGTGTAATCATACTCACTATAGCATGTGATTGTTCTGTTTCAAAAAGACTTATTTCAGTACTTCAAAATCCATTTTACGGCCCCTTAGAATCTTTTTATATACAACTTACCTCCTCGATCAACTTAATTAAACTCCTTATTATTGGAACGATTCGGGAATTAAGTTTAATGAGTAATATCACTTAAGGTGGCTCCCTACAGTTTCTGGTAATGTTTAAATGCACGTTTTAATATAAACAGGGATATTCAATATTGATATTCAGCATGACTAGAAGACTAAAATTCGTTTATTGCTCTTCGAGAATTTTTAGAACGGTTGAAAAAATTCACTATCCAGTGGATAGCGCTAACCGGCTTTCATACAACCGGCCCCATAGTGATACCCTTTCCACAAATATCAGTTTATACCACCAGCAAATGAGGTGTGTGCACCATTATGGTACAGACCATTGAGATCTATGGCATTGATGATCACACCAACCCCCCCCCCCCCAAATATAGGAGGACAGCATAGTGTGCGAGAATGCCATGCCACTTTGAAACCTATTCTTTCGCGTGTGTTTTAAAAAAGTTATCAATCGACCTTTCCCCCGGCTTAGCTTTCAAGCGCGCAATGCGTGACGGTAGTTAATTATTAAAAACTTTGAGTTGCGATATCGCTCTGATTAATAGCGATTGTGTTTGTAAAAAAACCTTGCTGATTCGTTTTGCTTCTTTGTTAAACTAAATCGCTCCGGAACATGGCGAAATTACAACTCAAATTGACCTTAATAATAAACTACCGTTACGTGTTGCGCGCTTGAAAGCTAAAAGGGGAAAGGTATGTTCATGATTAACGTAATACTATTATAATGCAATTAGTCCACCGTCCAGAGTGAATGGGGGAGACAAAGCCATTCAAAGACAAGAACAAATTAGACTGATTTCTTATACAAGTATATAATATCTGAGATGGTTGCTGTGAAACGTTGCGTCATTACGACGTTGCATGCATACGCAACATTACAAAGGACAAGGTTTCTTTAGTTAAACTACTCGTCTGAAGTGTTCATTGTTTAGAGGGCCCTAACTTTGGGGCAAGCACGTTTACTGGTGTCCTGCGACAACCGCACCGACGCGGAAATTTAGAATTCTAGGGCTTCTAAAATTCTCAAAAATGGATGTTGCCAAACGCGGGAGATTTGAGCAAGATTGCAAGTTTCGGTTTCTATTTTGTAAATTGGCCTTCTTCACAATGATAACCCCCCACCCCCTCAACAGTTTTTCTAGCCAGATTTCAACGTTTTGGGAAAATAATTTCGCTAAAGATTGGGGGTCAGCCGCGCCCTTTGCTTTTCCTTCGCTACGCCCCTTTCATAGATGAGCATGAAAATGAAATATTGAGAAGATTTATTAAGAAAAAATCGACAATTACTTCACTAACAAAGATTAACTAACTTCCCTAAATCATATTTTTGTGAGCCTTAAAGTGAGTTACATGTTCGTTTTCATTGTTGAATAATGCAGAGTGCGGGTAATGATAGTTACGCCCTCAGGCCAAATGCTCGCGGACGGATTTTCATCGCTGTTGATTTCAAGGAATAGTAATACCCTTTCCACGTACGCCAGTTGATACCATCAGCAAATGAACTGTGTGCACCATGATGATACAGACCATTGAGTTTGGATCTATGGCAGACATCATACCACCAAGCACCCACAAATTTGACAGCACAGTTAATGGCATGTCCGTCATTGTCGGAATCTTTTGTTGAAAACGACCTTCCTTTGTGAACAGAGAAAGAATCTCCAGCATTGCCTAAATAAAACAGAAAAGAAATGTAACATTCCGCGAATCTGGTAGCGTCGATTTTCTCCCGCCAATCATGACACGATGTTTCCAATTAAAACTCGTGACCCCGCCCAAGAACGGTTCTACCGGGTGTTCAATAACAGCACTTTGCTTAACATAGAACTAAATAATTAAGAATATACAGTACCAGAATAAGTCCCAAGACTAAGCTGATATTTCTGACGCTCGCTGGTCACAGCAAATAAACCATATTCTGCGTACTTTCTGTTCCCAGAAGTGTCTTCCATGTCGATACGAAGCTTATTTCCAGAAGCCGCTGTTAATCTGTGGATTTCGTCTAATCCAAGCCAGAATTCGCCCTTCAAATCACCAAAGCCATGCTTATAATCTTGCCATCCTCGGTAGAAATTAACACTGCCATCAAGACGACGTTGAAACACCGTCCATCCTCCACCAGATGTCGTCATATCACAGCGAACATTGAAACTGCCCTTTCCGTCTGGATCAATCTTGTAAACTCCATTCTGTCTAACTCCCTTCTCGTACAAATCAGCGCAGTCTTTACCTACAGTGCGGCAATGAGATTTATCCATCACTATAGACCTTTAAAAAAGTCATATTCCTGTTTGGTCAACTTGGCGCATAACCGCGCATTGGCCAGTCCACATTTGACCATTGACAGTTTTTACCCTAGCAGCAGAACCTGAACTGAATACTTAACAATTATACGACGAGCTCGAGTTACGCATAAGCTGATAGCCGATAAGGTTCGTAGCACCGCGAGACGTGAGTTGCCTATTATCCAAACCCAAGCGCTTTAATAGTAAAATATATAACGTTGCATTCAGGTATTGTTTAGAGGTCAGCTGAAAAAAAGCAAGCGCGCAGGGGTGGTTTTGTTTAGCGAGGAAGCGCCTGGCAGAAAATGATTGATTTCTGAAAAACGTTTGTATTTTGCTTTTTTTTTAATTATTGACAATTTTTTACTGGAATCGACTGTCGATAGGCTAGCCAAGTATTATGAACGTTTCCTTTGGCGGAGAATCATCTGAAGGTACTTTTATTTAAATCTTTTCCGTCGGAGTGACTATATCGTAGAGTACTCGAATAATTGCCTACCATATTTACATATTTACTATTGGGAAATGCGAGCGCATTTACAACATTTTAAGAGATTTCTGTTCGTGACATAGAATATATATATATATATATATATATATATATATATATATATATATATATATATATATATATATATATATATATATATATATATATATATGATATTTACCAAATTGGGAATAGGGAAGTATTTCCCAAGGTCTCAAAAACAGCCCGAGGCCGAAGGCGGAGGTACGTTTTTGAGACCGAGGGAAATATTTCCCTATACGGACCGACTAAACTGGTAAATTATAGATTTATTTTGAATTACGGCCCCCGTGCGTGCGTGCTTTTACATCTCGCGCAGTCCGTACGGCCTCATACGGACCGCTCGCGTAGCCAATCAGATTGCAGGAAACGCTAAAATATGAATTCGGACGGCAAGAAAAAAATAAAAACTCATATTCGTTTGTTTACAGGTTTTATAATCCGATGATGAATTCAACGCGATAATTATGGCAACAACTTGAATTTAAAAGTAAATTGATTCCATACGTGATACTTATCGAATATAATTTGTAACATGAATTGTTCAATATTAATCAACCTTTAACATTTTTAAAAACCGATTTATCTGTAAAAACTTAAATCTAATTCAAGTAATTATAGTATGTAATCATATTGTATTGTGTTATATTGTATAATTCATTTGATTGTTTACATGTTGAAATCATTATCTGCCGGGCGCTTCCTTTGCAAAAACCACCCCCAAAAAAGGCAAAAATCTCCGCGCGCTAGCGTTTTCCAGCTGATCTCTACAATTAATAAATAATGCGACATTATTTTTTTTACTATTAAAGCGCGTGGGTACGACGAGGTTGTAGCTACAATTTATATACGACGAGAGGATCATTAGTGGCTGTTTACATGAGCCTGGTTACCCGTGATTCAACGAAGCAAGAGATGATTTTGAGGTATTAAAATGAGCAGATAACATGATCCTGGCAGTTGTATAATTGCCACAACAATAGCATGTGCTTGTTTGGTGTCATAAAGACTTATTTCAATACCTCAAAGTCCCCTCACGCTTCGTTGAATCTCAGGTAACCGGGCTCATGTACACAGCCCCTTAATCTCGAAAGCACTTACAATGGTGCATCCGCAGTTAATTTCTTTTCCTTATTCTATTAGTATTGGTCTATATTTACATTGAATCCATTATCCAATAACCGTTACAGCTAGCTTGGCTATTTATTTCATTTCAGTCAATCTTTCGCTGTATTTTTTTAGCTCATTATGACTCATATAGGGCCTATATGACTTCAATCTAGAGCATGTTATTGTCTAAAAGAACTTTTACTGTGTGACGACTACTATTACTCGTTTACTTTCATACACTACACAATAATTGTGTTAAAAAGCCTTCAAATCAAATCACCCAATTATTGTTTGAAGTTTTACATACCACTGTTAATGGTATCATTTCGGGGAAAATAACTGTAAGAAAGTGTACTAATCTGTTATCTAGTTTAAGAAGCTGAGAAAAACCCCCATCAACTTGGACAAAGAGCTCCTTCGTAGTCCAAAATTAGGTTCGTAGTCAAGTCATATATGAGGTTCGGTATAATATTAATACTAGTTGTTGCAATAGTTATTCGCCCAAAAATTACACCTCTGGATGAAATATCTGCGTTCATTGAATATCAATTAAAATTCTAATAATAAATCAATCCTAGACAAGTATAGGATACAATTCCAGATACAATTGTGAGTTATATCAAACGAAACGGTTGGGCTTCTTATTAGTTACCTTTCACTTGCAGTGAGTCATTGGTACAGACGATTGATTTAATCAGTGTTTCTTGTAACTGGAACAAGATCTCAGCTTTCATTTCAGACAACAATGCTTTTATTTCCACTAGATCTGGTTTTAGAGCACAATTTTCTGCCGTTGTATTTTTCTTTGCCAAGCGGATTTCTTCCTTCTCGTTAAGAACAACTTAAAAAGCAGTTGCGCTAAAATGTAATATAAACTCACAAGTTAATAATTCCAAACATTGCATGATGAATGCATGTGGAGGCATTGAGCGAACAAAAAGTTACGCAATAATTTGTTAATAATTGCATTTATCGCATTTATTTAGTCAATATAATAACATAATATGTCATGGACAGCGGAGAAGGAGGGGCTGTGGGGCTATAGGACTATGAACTAGTTAACTCTAATTATTATAACCTTGTACTCGTATGTAATTACGCACGTAGGACTTTACCCCATACGCGACTTGCAAACTTGGCTGACCTTCCGTTTTTTAAACCCAACGTAAAAAAAATATGTTGCAAATGCTGACAGTAGTGAACGACCTTCAAATTTCAACACGGTTAACTAAAACTGACATTCAAGCACGTTCTTTTCCCAAGCGGAAGTTCTTGTCTGTCTCATGACGTAAATGTGAGCATTAGCAAACATTCAAAATGTTGTGTAAATTTTCAGAGGATTTTGCACATCGCATCGTTTTTTTTCCGCCCCTCGCAGCAACGTTATCATAATTACCATAAATTGACATTAATTCACTTCTAAGGGGGAACTATTTTGTTAACAATATGACATGGGCGCGTTTAACACTTAAGGCGTAGTATAATTAATCAGCACAACATGTCATTGTTCGGTATTGTTGTTGTTATTCATCGGTAGTACAAGGTAGCTCTAACTTAAGGTATAGTTTTCTTTGTATATTTGCTTATAGATTACGCAAATTACATCAAAGTTGATATAGGCCCCTACTTGCTTTTAGCCTTTGGAATCGTATCGTAAATTCCAGTGAAATTAGCTCGAAATGGTCAAACGTGGCTGCTACATGAATGCTTCATTAGGCTCGTGAGAGATTTATCAAGAATAGTTGGTGGTGTCCTCAAATCGCATTTGCAAGTTCCTTTCCCCGTTCTAACCCGATTTCTTGAATTCAAATAAATATATGTTTCCAAAGTTCGTAACGAAGTTATACAAAGTAAAAAATGGCTGTTGCACGCAACCTTACCTCTGCATTCCGCAGAAGAAGCAAAAACAAAGGAAGAACGAACGTGGTTTTAACATCATCATTCTTGTGATTACCCTTGAGTTTCTTTCCCTGCATTTGAAAGCAAAAAAAACCCGTCATACATATCTTACAGACTAAACATGATTTTCTCCTCCGTAAATATTCAAAATCATAGTTTTATCAGACATTCGTAGTTCCCGTACACATGCATGGAAGAATTTCATTCTGGTACAGAATGATTGATTAAATGGATTAAATTTGCGTGGCGCTAAAATAACGCTAAAGCACAATTAAATTAGTCCAATTTCATCCCATTTTAGTTTCAACATGAATCCTTGTTGACAAATTTAAAAAACATGCGTAAGTTTTTAAAATAGCTGGTTTTATTATTTATCTTATTCCTCTAGGTGAAAGCCACTTTGTGATTGGTTAACGTTCCGAGAAAATTCAAATGTAGCACTCGACTTTTGTAACCAATCTTTTGTATTTGTGTATCCTATTTCGTATCCACCGCTACGAATCTCTTCAAGGGTTTATTTCTGTATGGCTATATAAAGCCGTTTTCCACTTACGCGTTTTTTATACGCACGTACACGCACGTAAAAATCTAAATCCTTATGTATGATATCTTTGAAAAAAATAGGTAAATAAATCGAAAAAACTTAGTTTTCCGCATATTTTAGTATGCCTTGCAGACCTGAATGTTGGAAGCTTTTCAAATTTTCCGTGCGTGTACGTGCGTATATAAAAAAACGCGTAACCGGAAAGCAGCCCCCAAGGGCTGTTTTGATGATTGCGGAATCGCGTAAGTGGAAAACAGCCTTTAAGGCTGTTTTTCACTTACGCGTTTTTCATACGCACGTACACGAACGTCAAAGTCGAAATCCATATACATGTTACCTTTGAAAAAAATAAGTGAATAAATCGAAAGAAGTTAGTTTCTTGCTTATTTTAGTATGCATTAGTTGACCTAGATGTTAAATAATAAAAATTTAAAAGCATTTAAAATTTTCCGTACGTGTACGTGCGTATAAAAAACGCGTAAGTGGAAAGCAGCCTTAACCTTGAAATGAACATACGGCAAAAATTCCGCAATCATCAAAACGTTCTTTTTTAATAAATGTTTATGTGACGAGTTTTAATTGTTCGTTTTGTCAAAGTACAA